ATGTCATCATATTTGAAACTAATTAACCAAGTTTTGTTTCAGGATACTAAGACGAATAAAATCTTTGGTCGGGGGAAAAGGAGGGGCAACCTATTTTATCTTGAAGATTTTCATTCTTGCTTTCATTCTTGTCTTGTTTCTATTTCGTCTGATGTGTGGCATGCGAGGCTCGGTCACCCACATCGCAATGTTCTTCGATTACTTGTTCCTGAAGTTACAAATAATGCTTCTCTTTGTGATGCATGTACGCTTGGAAAACATTGTCGTGCTGTGTTTCCAACTTCTACGACTATTTATGCGAATCCTTTTGAGTTAGTTCATTCAGATATTTGGACCGCACCGTGCTTTACTATTGATTACATTTATTGACGAAAAGACGAAACATACATGGTTAACACTATTAAAACGGAAAAGTGATGCTTTCGATGCTTTCAAACATTTTTGCTCTTATGTTGCTAATCAGTTTGGAACCAAGATTAAGTGTTTTCGTACAGATAATGACAGAGAATACACGGGCAACAACTTCCGATCCTTTCTTCTTGAACAAGGAATTGTTCACCAACGTTTGTGTCCGAACACTCCTCAACAAAATGGCGTTGCAGAACGGAAGAATCGCCATCTCATGGAGGTTGCTCGAACATTGCTTTTCCACCGTCGAGTTTTGAAACTCTATTGGAGTTATGCGGTTCAAACCGCTTGCTATCTTATAAACAGATTACCGACACAAGTGCTTGATGATCACTCACCATTCGATCTCCTATTTCATCGTAAGGATTCCATTGAGCACCTTCGTACCTTTGGTTGTGTATGTTTTGTTTATCTTGGTTTTGTTTATCTTGATGCAGGTCTCGGGACAAACTCGATCCTCGAAGTGTACGGTGTATCTTTCTTGGATACCCTTCAAACCAAAAGGGTTATATTTGTTATCACCCACCGACTCAACGCTCATACACTTCCCGTGAGGTTCACTTTGTGGAGGACATCGGCTACTTTGATGATACAGATTGGAAGGAATTGGAAATACTTGCCCAGCAAGGAATCGATTATGATGTTTCTCTCAGCCGCCTCCTCACGTCTCTTCGGCATCTAAACTCTTCATCGGATCTACCATCGTCACCGGCTTCGACCGAAACTTTGATTTCTGTCGAGCCGCAGGTTATTTCTGCTACTTCACCACCTTTGTCTTCTTCTTCCCCACTTATTCGTACGGATATTTCAGGTTCTGGTCTTCTTCCACCCTCTGATGCTATTCCATGCAACGTTGACCAAGTCCAAGAAGATGTACCCATGCATGCATCAGACACTATAGTTGATGCACATGTGTTAGATTCCACTAACGTTTTACAACTTCAAGGGGAATGTCCGTCGATCGACACCACCACGTGTGACCCACCTAACATCCCCACAACCCAAGCTCCTCTCATTCGACGAGGGACTCGATCCCGTCGTCCACCCTCGTACCTCGATTCGTATGCTCATTTTTCTTTATCCCATTTTCCTGTTGATTCACAATGCTTTCTAAGTACTATCTTGTAGGAAATAGAACCAAACTCGTATGAAGAGGTCAAGGATAATGTCGTGTGGAAAAAGGCAATGGATGAAGAACTCGAGGCTTTGGAACGAAACGGAACGTGGAAAATCACATCTTCGCCGATGAATAAGCATGTAGTTGGATGCAAATGGGTCTACAAAATCAAATACCGCAGCGACGGCGCCATCGAGAGATATAAAGCACGCTTAGTGGCAAAGGGGTTCACTCAAACATATGGCGAAGATTACACCGACACCTTCGCCCCCGTAGCTAAGTTGTCCACTGTTCGTGTCCTTTTATCTTTGGCTATTAACTTGGATTGGCCCTTATCGCAGATGGACGTCAAGAATGCCTTTCTTCAAGGCGACCTCGAAGAGGAAATTTTCATGACGCCTCCGCCGGGTCTAAACCGTCCATTGCTTCCGGGTCAAGTTTGTAAGTTGAAGAAAGCCATTTACGGGTTGAAACAATCCCCAAGAGCTTGGTATCACAAGTTATCTTCGGCATTGATCACTCGGGGTTTTGTTCGTAGCGACTCGGACCACTCTCTCTTCACTCTACAAAGTCCGGCCGGTATTGTTGTTTTATTGGACTATGTCGACGATATCATTCTTTCTGGAAATAATACAACAGGCATTCAGGAGACAAAATCATACCTTCAAAGTGTCTTTGATATCAAGGATCTCGGTTCTCTCAAATATTTCCTGGGGATCGAAATATCTACTAACGCGTTGTTCCTTTTGCAAAGGAAATATCTTCTTGAACTTTTACAGGACACGAGCAAGGCAGGTTCCAAGCCAGTTCGGACTCCAATTGAAGAAAACTTCAAGGATCAACGCGAGGGGGAATCATTGGATGATCCGACACAATAGCGTCGACTCGTAGGTAAGCTTATATATCTCACCATCACTCGACCTGATATAAGTTTTGTTGTGCATCAGGTTAGCTAGTGGATGCATGCGCCATCGTCAGCTCACTGGAACATGGTCGATCGGATACTCAAATATCTGAAAGGAACACCAAACAAAGGCATTTGGATGGCAAACAACAATCATACTGAGCTTATAGCTTATTGCGACGCAGATTGGGCGGGTGACAGGACAGACCGAAGATCAACTAGTGGATATTGCACATTTATTGGAGGAAACTTAGTCACATGGAAGAGTAAGAAGCAGACAGTGGTAGCACGGTCAAGCGCGGAAGCCGAATACCGAGCCATGGCCAACACAACAGGCGAGGTGTTATGGTTGCGTCAATTATTACGAGACCTTGGAATTGATGTTAAGCAGCCTACGCCTATGCATTGTGACAATCAAGCGGCAATACACATTGCAGCCAACTCCGTATTCCATGAACGAACAAAGCACATCGAGGTCGATTGCCACTTCATCCGAGAGAAGATCACTCAAGGACTCGTAATGACAAAGTTTACTCGAAGTCAAGATCAACTCGCCGATATTCTTACCAAGTCAACGAGTTCGTTTGTGCTCAATCACATTCTCTCCAAGATTGGCCTAATTGATTTTCCCCGACCAATCTTGAGGGGGAATGTTGAAGATAATACGGGAGGAGCTGAAACTCAGCCTTGACTATCGAAGAACAAGGCAACACCGACATTTTCTCAATCTCATTTTCTTTCTTGTCACACAAGATATTAAGTTTCCTTGTATATTTTGTCATTAACGTACATTAATTTTCTTTAAAACTTGCATATATGTATATATGTACAACGCATCATGGTGTAATATTATCAAGAAAAGAATTCTTCTGTTTATTTTTTTCATCTTCTTCTTCAACCCTAAACTCATCTTCGTCGGCACTGTTAGCCGAGAATCCCGAAACTATACACAAAACTCTGATTTTGTTCAATTCAGACACACACAAAAAATAGAATAAACATTACAAAATCTTTAAAAGGAAAAACAGAGATTTAAGGTCACAAAAGCTTTTATTGTCACGCATTACAAAAACAAAAACAAAAACACATAATTTTTTTTTTAATTGTAACAACAACAAAGCATTGGACGTTAAGACAGGAGAGAGTGGATGTGGTCGGCGATGGCTACGGCGTCTCTTGAAACTCCGTTGATTCCCTGCCTCGAAAATCCGGCGCAGTATATATTCTTCTCTCCTTTCCAATGCTTCGGTATCGGATTCTTCGGAAACCCCGTCTCGTTCATCACGTATTCATAGTTCTGCATGCACGTATATATATCGCCTTTTATTTTATAGAATATGTAAATTCTCTACATTTTTTTAAAAAAAAAATCGAGTTATACATCTCTAGATACTATACGGTAAATGTTAAATACATGCATCAAGCTTAAAAGTAAATATTATCATATACTTTACTTTGTCATGCTTGAATATATATTGATTTTGTAACCATTTTCGGAAAACCCATATGATGCATTGTGTGTATATATATGTAGTTATTCACGTATCCATTTTTTTTCAGAGACTATGTCGGTAATGTCGTTAATTCTCTATATTATCTAACAGTTTCAGCCAACATTTTTAAATACGATACAGTATACTTTGTTATTTATATATATATATAGATATTATAAAATGTATTAGTGCAACCCTATTCTATTTAGGGTTAGAGGTTGTTACTTAGTTAATTTGTATGTGTGTGTATATACATATATATATGGTTGTAAAATTCTAGTTACAACTCTTAATTATAGTTGGTTAATTTTTTTTCAACTAGAGGGAATTCGGATCAAATATTACTGATACAAATTAATGGTTTTAGGAAAATTCCATAAAAAAATTAATTTAAGAACATATATTAGATGTTAAATTTTTTTGTCTGACTATTCCTCAAATTTAACTATTTCCAGCGTTATAAAAAAATCGGATTTCGATTATACATACATACATACATATATATATATATATATATATATTGTTTGTGCTAACCTTTAGCCATTTGCAAACTAAGCTGTTGTAGCCAGTCGCCAAGACAATGGCATCAAAATCTTTCTCTACTCCGTTTTCAAACTTTATACTCTTCCCGTTGATGCTCACCATCCCTTCAACAACCTATCAATACAACAAAAAGCATGCATGAGATCATACATCACATAACATACATACATGCATACAATATATACATACATGGATATTTCCGGAGCGGATCATGGCGACGGTGCCGACGTCGATGACGGGGGCTTTTCCGAAGTAGAGTTTGGCGTAGAAAGGGCCTTCCTTTGGAGTTTTAAGGCCGTACTTGGAGAGATCTCCGTACGTAAACCTCGCCATGGCTGTCACAAAAGTGTCCACCACCTTCACCGGCACGTACTTCGCCATCGTCATCCCCATATACACCATCTCCTTCGTCAGCACGTGCCTCTTCCCCCCGCCCCATCCCAAGAAAAAAGAAAAAACCATAAGAATAATAATGTACGTATATATAACTATATATATATATATACACGGTAAATGTTCACTGTACGAACAAGTTTGCATGCAATCAATACGACCGGAAACGAAACGTTTCCTGCCTTCATGCATGAAACATGCAAAACCACGACATGATCATATGTATGATTATAATAATGTACCATATATATACACATGCAGACACATACATATATAAAATCGGATAGAAATTCGAAGAAAATTTAACACTTACGGGACTTCGAGCACAGATGGTGGTTCGAGCGCCGAAGTTGCAGAGATCAAAGCTAATTTCCATACCTGAATTCCCAGATCCAACGACAAGAACGTCTTTGTCTTTGAAGTCCGAACCTGACTTGTATTGACTCGAATGCAAGATCTGTCCTGCAAATGCACCAATACCCTTCACATCAGGAACAACCCCTTCACCGTTTTCTCCCGTCGCCACGACCACAAACCTCGAGAAATAGACCTCGGTCTCGCCCGAAACCGAGTTCTTTGCCTCGACCCTCCATTTATCATTGGAAGCGTCGTACAAAGCCTTCTCGACCGTGCGGAAATACCTCGGTTTGATGTCGAATCTCTCGACGTATTTGTCGAGGTAATCGAGGAAATGGTCTTTGGGCATGAAGGGCGGTGCGTCAGGGTGATGTGGCATCAAGGGCAGCTCGCAGAAATCTTTGTGCAAGTGAAGCTTGAGACGATCGTAGGCCCTTCTCTTCCATAGCGAGGCGTAGATGTCCTCTTTCTCCAGTACCACATGCGGGATTGAATACCGGTTTAGACAAGCCGACGTGGCTAAACCGGCCGGG